TGTTGTGGTGACCCCCCAACTAGAAAATTATTTTGTTGCTTTGCAACCAAGACTCAGTAGTTTTTCTTAAATAGACTGTCTTCCCATAGTTAATTATACTATTGGCTAATTTTCAGTATTCTGGAAATTCTAATAATTAGAACTATGTTAATTTTCTATAGTATGTTCATGGTCTTTATAGGGAAGTGCACTTATGACTGACTGTTATTCCAAAGTCCCACCTTCAGGAATTTCATTTTATTTTCCATTTAGATTACTTCTGTCTTCATGGGCAGGACAAGTGTAATTTCTCAGCCTAATACATTCATATCAGAAATCATGTGCAACGTCAGTTAAAAAGTTTTAATGCAGATAAAACTACTTGCATTAAAATGATTTCAACTTTATAGGAGAAACATTCTCTACATGATATATATTCTTGGGCTCAGAGACCCTTATTTTCTATTCTCAACTATAGATGTGGTATAAACATTCCAGACATCCTGGATACTATTCAGCAATATCATACTTGACAGAAAGAATTCAAGGCAAATATTGTTGGTAGAGAATCTGACACTCATTGAACATTTAGTTCATGCAGTTTCATGAGAACTGTATTATCTTAGTTATCTCATGCCTTATATTGAAACGATGGCTTCTGTTTGATTTGTCTATCAGAGGTAAAGGGAAAAGGTAAATGAGGCAATAGGGAGCTCACAGAGCACACTGAGATACCACCCTTCCTCATTGTTCTTGCTTGTTCCTGTGCGTAGCTGACCATGTAGTATAAACACGCATGGCCAGTAAGAAATATTGAATGAATATGTTACTATGTGCACACATGTAAGTTTTAGTCAGCTACGCTTTTGCAAGTGTTAGAAATTCATTTTTAAAAAGAAATTTATTCATTTTTATTTTATGTGTATATGTGTTTTGTCAGCATGTATTTCTGCGCATTGTGTACTATGTACCCTGTTGGTGAAGGTCACAAGAGGGCGATGGATCCCCCAGAACTGGAGTTGCAGGATGCTGTGAGCTGCTGTGTGTGCTGGGAACTGAACTCTGGTCCTCTGTAAGAGCAGCTAGTACTCCTAATCACCGAGCCGTTGTGGTGGCTTGAATGAATTTTCTCTCACACTCTCAGGCATTTGAATACTTGGTTCCCGGCTGGTGACGCTGTTTGGGGAGGTTTAGGAGATGTGGCCTTGCTGTAGGAAGTGAGTTACCGAGGGAGAACTTTGGGGGTTCAAAGTCACCTGCCATGCACGTTTGCTGCTTTCTTAACTTGTTGCTTGTGTTGGAGACGTGGGATCCTCAGTTCTTCTGCCTCTGTGCTTGTCTGCTGCCATGATGATGCTAGGGTCTTATTTCTTTGAAACCATGAGCCCCAAACAAACTTCTATGAGTTGCCTTGGCCATGGCGTTTATAACAGCAATAGAAGAGTAGTAAATACAGCCATCTTCCTAGCCCCTGGAAATGTGTTTTATAGCCCTCATCAGGTCTTCTGCCATTTGCTTCCTTCTTTTCATTTTCAAAGGTACCATGGACAACCCCCACATGTCCGCATGACACACACTCAGCAGTCACTGCTTTACTCGAAGACCACTCTGAAATCCAGGCTGAGCTGGATTATGCATGGCTATACCCTCCGCAAGTTTTTGCTTTCATTCACAAAAAGTATTTGGTCTTCACCACAATAACTGAATTTTCATTACAGAATGAGACAGTAGAGTGTAAAATACATAAAAAGTTCAAGATGAAATAAAAGACTTTCTTTTTTTACTATAATTACCAAAATTGTATGTAAAACCTGAAACTGTACTGTCACCCAGAAGGAGGGACCATTTTTTTGTTTTGTTTTGTTTTTCTCCCGAGACAGTGTTTCTCTGTGTACCTCTGGCTGTCTTGGAACTAGCTTGGTACACCAGGCTGTCCTGGAACTCAGAGAGATCCACGTGCCTCTGCCTCCTGAGTGCTGAGATCGAAGGTGTGCGCCACCACTGCTTGGCCTGGCAATGCTTTTTTGTACATCAGACATCACTATGTGTTTACCTTCCTTGCCCTGGGCTTAGCTCCCATCTCTCCTCACCCTAGTTTGTGGACAATGCCCCTGCCTGTGGCCAGAAAACCCAGGAAAGAAGGTTAGTGGGGATTAGAGATGCGGGTACAGTCAGAGGCAGAGGGAGAATTTTGGGGTTATTGACTTTCCCAATTTACTGTCTTATTTACTCTGAGTGGCAGTCTTGTATAGCAATGCAAAAAAAAAAAACCTTAAAGGAGTTAGGGAGAGGTCACTTCGCTTTTTAAAATTTTTTCTTGTGTGTGTGTGTGTGTGTGTAATTTATACATGAACCCTGAATCTACATCACCCCTTTCCTCCTCCAATGATGCTGCTCTTTCTGCCCTCTGACCATCTCAGTAACTTTAGGGTCGCAGTAAGGGGTTGGCCCTCTAAGTGTGGGTATTTGGCTGGTAGATTGCTGTGGAGAAAGCTAAAGATTGGGAGGAAATTCGTTGTCTGTGTTTGAGGGTGAGCCCCACACTCTAGTGTTGCATCTGCTGAGCAGCCTGCATCCGAGAATGTAGTGAGGTGGTCGGGATAGATGACACAGAGACCGGTCGGTTGCGTTAAGAAAACTTTATGCTCCCCAAGTCAGCTTAGGAGAACTTCCCAAGAAAAAACACTTCCCTTTTTAAAGACTTCTGCCATCCATACACATACAATTCTCCAACCGAGCTCTCACACACCTCTCATAGCTCTCCCAGACTTCGCACCCTCCTGGCTGGTTAAAACTCCAGCACCAGAATCGGGGAGAAACAGCAGGGAGCAGGAAGAAGCATCTAGTGGGGGGGGATCAAAGTCATGGTGTTTCAGTGAGTGAGCCCTTATCGGAGCCCTACCAAGAGCTTTATGGCACTGAATTGTTTTCAGTAAACATGTTTTCAGTAAACATTGTCTTACAGCTGCCTACTCCCAGGCCGAAGGGGAAGTGGGTCTCTGTTCAAGGTCTGGTGTCCCCACACTCTAGCAAGTCTTAAAGTGCCTTTCAGTTACTGATCATGTCCACTTCTGGGCTGGGCTTTAGAGGGCTTCCTTCTTTAGTCTTTGCCATCTTAGGACTCCCGCATCAGCAGAGGTGACGGTACAAGCACAAAATGACTGTGAATCCCACCGAACTCTCATGTGATCATCCACGTTAAAAGTTTTAATTCATTAGAGTCAAAGGGTTAAAGTTTCCTTCAGAATCCCCAGGTGGGAGTTGTCTTTCATGCCTGTGAGCATGAATATAAGGTGAAATGCAAAGCTGTTTTAGTCTTGTCTGATTGGCTACAGAAGCAATAAACACTGGAATCCCCACTGTTTCTAAATTTGGACGGTCTATGCTTTGTGCTTGCTGTGCAACTGATCAGGAGCTCTTAATGAAGAAAAAGTTAATGTGCTTCCTGGGGAAAAATCATGGATTCAACTTTTAGTTTTGATGTTTTAAAAGATTTGTTTGCTTTCATTTATGTGTCAGTGTACACACACACACACACACACACACACACACACACACACACACACACACACCATGTATGTGCAGCTACTCTTGGAGGTCCAGAAGAGGGAGCTCAGAGAGCTCAGAGCTCCTGGGACTGGAGTTGCAAGTAGTTGTCAGCCATCTAACATGGGTGCTGGGGACTAGACTCTGGTCCCCTGCCACAACTACAACAGCTACAAGCTCTCCTGACTGCTGAGCCATCTCTCCAGCCCCATGACTGGACTTTTAATAATTTAGACTCCAGTGTGTGTGTGTGTGTGTGTGTGTGTGTGTGTGTGTGTGTGTGTGGTGGGGTCATTATCTTCCATTTTAGCTGTTGCTTTGAAATTTAATTAGTTGGAGATCTAAACTGGAGGAAAGGCAAAGTTTGACTTGATTGCTGCAACCAGTGTGCCCTCGGGTGGAGCAGTAGACTTAATTATGCTGGGAGGTCTCATCCTCCCTGGGGAATGGAGTGGGGGTTGGGTGGGGGACTGGGGGGGCCTGGTAGGGGCCAGGGGAGGAGGGGAGGGAGAGGGAGCTGGGATTGACATGTGAAGCAAGCTTGAAATAAAAAAAAAATCATGGCGTCTGAAGCCCGTGGAAAATGAAGCTCAGAGTTATCGTGTACGGCAGCTTTCTGCATCATGTAGAAAACATGAGAAATATGGAAATGACTATGAGCTAAAAACATAATGTTTTGTGCTGACAAAATTGTGGGTTTGACTATTTGTAACTCAGTTTTATGACATCTGTTAACCCTTGCTAATGGGTTACTCTTTTCTCTTGCTTCCCACGCTCTTTTTAAAACCGTCTGTGTAATACTGTTACTTCAGAAGCGCTTACCTGGCTGCTTGTTGTTTTCCTCATTCATTCTCAGCCTTCAAAAGCAGGGCCTGGGACTTTGCCAGCACAAAGAGGGGGCTGAGGGAGTGACTGACCACTACTTAGCAAATAGTGAGTGCACATTCTATGTCTTCTGGTTTCATGCATCTCAACCCTCCTGCTGCCTTCCTGCCTGGTGACCCACAGTACCCATTGCTGTAATTACCCCATTAAAAATCTATTTGCAGACATTGCTTCTTCTGTTGACTTTCGCCCATTGCTTTCATTTCCATTGCAGTATCAATATTAGAGTAGAAGGAGGCTTAGAAGGCTCCAGATTTTCTCATCTTGCTTAATCACCCATTAGCATCTACTCCCACAAACTTCAGTTATTTATTAGAACTATCCTCCTGATGTAGTTTATATCCTATCAGAACCAAGCATAATAGACAGCAAAACTGAATAGTACCTTTTAAGTTGTCTGTGAAGGAATAGTGTAGCGAGCCTGTGTTCGCGGTTATGGGGCTACAACACTTGACAACGATCCAAGCGAAAGACTAAGGATGTAAATGACAACAAAGACAGTGGCTCATTCTTACAAGTAGAATGGCGTTTATTTTAACAAGAGTGGAGCCTTATATACCAAAGGCAGGCATGGTGGAAAACCACCAAGGTCAGAAGCCTACGTTCCCAGGGCCCTCTGGCAAAGGGTGAGCCAAAAACAGGAATTAGCATTTAGACATAAGGGTGGACAGAAAACCGGAACTTGCTTGCAGGCCTTACCGGGAGAGGGGGACAAGAGGTGTTTTGCTAGAAGCTCCTAGTCCCAAGCTGATCAGCAAACCTCCATGGGGGAAGGGTGCTACAGAATAGGTGGACTTTGACATCAACTCCAGATTTTCTGGTTCGTAGACAAAGTAAGTAGCTATCTTAGGCTATGAAACCAACTCTGAGCAAACACAACAAAATGATGTCTTGCCCAGAGTCTGAGTAAGTGTGTTATTTGAGGCCTAAATGTTTTTTCATTCACAAAAAGGTTTTTATTTTAATTGTATGTATATGTGTGTATCTCTATATGATTTTGTGGAGACCAGAAGATGGTGTCTGACCCCCTAGTGGCTGTGAGTCACTTGATGTGGGTTCTGGGAACTGAACTTAGGTTCCTTGGAAGAGCAGGAAGCATTGTCACCTACTGAGGCCATGTCTTCAGCCCTTGATTCCCCCTCTATTAATTATGGAAGCTGCAAAAGAAAGGGGAAGAGGCAGGTTAGCATCCAGTACTAACTTTACAAAGAACAACAATTTCATTCCTGGTAAATGGCTGTGAAACCTGGGTTTGAGAAGAAAGAGGGATCATTTGTGGGGGATGTTTCCTGTGGCCGGAAAATCTGGATGCTTTGTTTTATAGAAACCTGAAACTTGCTTCAGATCCCAGTGTTCCTTACTACCACCATACCTTATTATTTGTGAAAATTTTAAAGTAATATCTTGTGAAATCAGTAAAATAGCATCATGTTTAGGCTGATCACACTCCCATGGAGGGCCCCATATCTGTGAATATATAGGCAACATAAATTAGGCTCAGTGGGTTAAAAACAGAAAAAGAAGAAAACCTTAAGTTGGGAGGGGATGGGAGATGGGGATCTGGATCTGGGAGGAGGGGTGAAGGAGTAAATATGCTAAAAATTACATTGTATGAAAATATGAAATTCTAAAAAATAATCAAAATATTATATTTCTAACCTTATTATGTAATAAGATTAGAAAAAATACTACTATGTTACATTGTCAAATTTGGAATTGACTTATAAAACACTGCTAGAAGTTGAAAGTTTCTTGTTTTTTTTAAAAGAATAATTTATTTTTATTTTATGTGTATGATTGTTTTGCTTGCATGTATGGGCTCCACATGTTTGTCTGGTACCTGTGGAGGTCAAAGAGGGCATTGGATTCCCTTGGAACTAGAGTTACAGATGGAGCGAGATCCTGGGAACTGAATCCTAGTCCTCTACAAGAGAAGCAAGTGCTCAAAACTACTGAGCTACCTCTCCAGCCTTTTATCTATTCTTAAAAGAAGCTGTAGCTATAATTCTTGTTTTGATACTCTAGTTGGATGAAATATTTTAGTAGCCAGTTTTATGTTTAAAAAATTCCTCTTGTAAGGGTAAATTTATTCAGTTAACTATGTATGGACAGACAAATTAACCTTTATAACAGAAATTTTTTTCTCTCTCCCTTTTTTTTCTGCATGTAAGGAAAAAACGTTTTGGTGTTGACTGGGTAGACTTTTAACTATCAGAGCACTGGGAGCTCAAAAGGTTATGTACATTCCAGTGTGGCATTGAAGCAGTCTCTCAGGATTTCAAACACTCGTGGTTATGAAAACAAATTTTCATCTTTATTTTTCCAAGCTGTCTCCTTACATATAGCACTTCAGAAAAATCACCATTACTGGTTTTACTGCTTGATTGCTTAAGAGGTAATTGGTTCAGCACCTGGGCAGGAAGCTATTTTGGCAGGAACTCTATTTTCTTCAAGTTTGAGCTGTAAAATGCTGGATAGTGAATTGTAGTCAGGGGCTAATTTTTAAAAACTACTGAGCACACAAGGATACTAATGTGTGATCCAAAGAAACTGCGGTGCACTTGTTAGGAATACAGAAATAGCTACATATTTATTTTAAATTGTAACTTGGTATTAAAAGTTCATACTTTGTACTGGAACTTAGTTCTAAGATCTGAAATACTCAAAACAGATTAGTTAACCTGGGTACTTCCTGATGACTACAAATTTCCCCCAAATGGATTATTTCATATCTTTAGATAATAAAAAATCAACCTTTCTTTCAAATGATCCTAAACTGTTTGGCTGGTGATAAGATAGGAATATCAACTAGTGTGTTTTAAATAAGGTCATCCATGCTTCTCAAAACTTTGGGTGCCATTGTCTATCTTTTATGCAGTTGCTATATTAATTTATGATGGCAAATGCTCTATAAGATGGCAGTGTTCAGGCCAACTTCCCTTCCACCTCTCCCTGGGAGAGAGGTCTGATGTTTAGCTCAGGAGTTGGTGAAAGCAGAGCTGCAGGAAGCAGTCATGGAGACATGGAGACTGAGTGTTATCCAAGACTTTGAACTTCACCTCCTTCTGGGCTTCTAGAAACAGGGCATGGGATTCCTTCTAAGTTCCTTTGGCTACCGAGCTGCTCCCATTGGGTGCTTTACTGTTTCAAGACAGGCATGCGAGGCTGGGATTCATGACGATTGTGTGTTTGTGCAAACACACGACAACAATACTCTTCACTCAATGTTGTCTGCGGGCAAATGATATTGTAAACTGAGCAGAGGTCTGACTGTTACCTTAGCTCACCAGGAACACTTGTCCGAGCAGCTTTGGGACAACTGTCATCCTCACTTCGGAAGACCTCTGTGTATGGCTTCCATATCTCCTTGCTTCGCTTTCTCTGCCAAGGGCAAGTGCCGTTTTGAACTGTGATTTTTCAATCTTGGTTTTACTTTGGAGTTTTACTATAGTCTGATCCCAAACACTGTGTTTAATTTTTCACATTGGACTTTATGTGAATGAACCATGCACATATTCTTCTGTGACTTGGCTTTCATTTTTCTATTTATTTTTGTAAATGTTTTATGTCGTTAAGGTAGTTAAGATGTTTGTTATACATACAGTGAATGACATAATTGCAGTGAAGCAAATTAGCATTCTTTCTCTCCCCTCTCTTCTTCCTTCCCTCCCCTTCTCCCCCCTCACTTTACTCTTTCCCCTCCCTCCACCCCCTTCTTCTCTTCTCTTCTCTTCTCTTCTCTTCTCTTCTCTTCTCTTCTCTTCTCTTCTCTTCTCTTTTCTTCTCTATCTCAGTGAAAACATTGAGATCTGCTTGGGAGAAAGTTATTGGTATGTCTAGGATACTGTTGACTGTAGCTATTATACTATGCATCTAACCTTTCACCCTTCATAACTGCAATGTTATCTTTTGGTTGTTTTCCACTCAGCATTATGTTCATAAGGTTCTTTCGTGCTGCTGCTTGGAGCTGAAATTCACTCACTTTGCTAATATGTATTTCTTTTCTGAATAAACATTAATTTATCTGTCATTTTTACTAACCACGACTTTTTTAATGAAAAGGTATATGAAAAGTAAATATTCTGCAAAGGAGCTAACTGAAGGATGGCAAAAAATACCCTCACACCTAACAGTGTTTATCTTAGTATAGAATTTGTTAATATTTGCCAACTTGACACAAACTAGAGTCACACAGGTTTGAATGGCCTGTGAGTGTATCTGTGAGATATTTTCTGTATTAATGATTGATGTAGGGTGGCCAGCCCACCATGCCTGGCACATAACATGGGCAGGTGGTGCTGGGTTGTGTAAAATAAGCAAGCTGAATGAACCTTGGGAAGCAAGCCAGTAAGCAGCATCCCTCTACTGCATCTGCTCTAGCTCCTGCTACTAGGCTCCCGTGAAGGTTCCTGCCATGGCTTTCCTCAGTGAGAGGAGGTAAGCCAAAGAAACCCATTTCTTCTCCAAGTTGCTTTTGGTTATATTTATCATAGCAACAGAAAGCAGTGCAAGACAGTCGGGAACACGCTTTTTCCTTTAAATTACTAGGGGTGCACATTGCGCCAAGCTTAAGAAGTCCCCTCCTCTTCCTCCTAGAGTCTCCCCTAGTTAACTGATACATGTCTAGTGAATGTGACAGGGACTCTGGAAAGCTAAAGACCCCGTGCTCCTGGGTGGGTCTTTCTTACTGATGGACTCTGCTGCAGAGTGACTTCTGGGTTATTGGAAACCTCTATGCTGGTTTCTTGGGGCCTTTATCCCTGAGATGGTTAGATGGCTCAGAGAGGGGTATTGAGTCTTCAGGGTAGAATTCTGTGCCTGGCGGCTGGTATCCTGGGAGCCAAGTGGGAACAAAGGATTAGGAATTTCTACATTCAGAATTTCAGATTTTGCTGAGACTCGATTACTGTCCCACATTATCTGCTCTTAATTTTCAAGTGTGGAATTTTTAAAAACTTCTCCATACAACAAAAATCCAATATAGTGTTGACATGAAGGGAGAGAAGGGTTAACCACTTTCTAAATGAACACTCTACCAAAACGTTCAGATTTTGTATCCCATCCACAGCGCCATTTCCCAGGAACACCAGATGTTTCCACCTCCTGAGACTTTTGGGTGTTCTACACAGACCGGGTCAGTCAAGGATTTGCAGCTGCCATAGCCCTTTCCCAGACCAGATCCTGTCATCTGTACACATGCTAACCTCTGTTTCTCGCTGATCTTGCGTGTTATTTACCTTTCCTCTTCTCAGACTCCTGCCTCTTCCTCTAGGTATCCTCCTCCTCTGCCTCAAGTTCACATTCAGTAACAAAAAAGGATCTTCAAACAATATTCAGGAGGACGTGAGGAAATGTTGGCTTTTGTCTGGACTAAACTTCAGAACACAGTCCCGTATTGTGGTAGAGTTCCTGAATTTAGAGGGTCAAATGATGTGGCATTTAACGTGGCTGTTGGCGATTTTATCATTCATTTTTGATAATCCTGAGGAGAAAGGGGAAGAAAAGGGGGCGGGGGGAGGGGAGATAAACAAATCTATAATTAGCCCAAATCTTGGAAATAAACAAAACTCAACGTTGTTGTTCTGTGCTGTGTTTCTGATACAGCGAATAAAATAAATAAAACAAAGATCCTATTCTGGGCCTAAGGAATGGCATTCAGCGCTCACTTTTCAAGTCTTAAAGGTGGAGTCGGAAAGGAAGAAAAGTGTTCTGAGTCTAAGGCACAAGGCCTGCAGAATTTCAGCTGAGGGGTGAAATGCAGGCAGAAGGAAGTAAACTCTGAGGTTGGACAAGCAGTTCTGGATGAAAGAATGAGAAAGTTCTCTGGGGACCAAGTCATCTGTGAGCCAACTTCTAACTTCTGTTCTTTTCCAACTTGAGAGTTGCTGCTGCGAATGTGCTGTGGACCGGACGGCTGAAAAGCCTGTCTTTACCTGCCAACTCCCTGCCTGCCTGGTTTAAAGATCAAGCCATAGTAGGGATCCAGTTATGGGCTTTTAAAGGAAAGACCGAAAATCAGCTAAGAAAAGAAGGAGCCAGGAAGGGGAGAGTTAGTTTAGCTTAACAGTTGATAGGAAATAACCTCAGTCCTGGTTTTGGGCAAGCTTACAGCTGGTGAAAGGAATGGGGACAGCGTTGAGGCCGAGGAGCTGGTGGGGAAGACCATGGTAAACGTGCGGACGAAGAACTTGAGGTTTCTCCCATAGCATGCCTTTCTCTGTTTCCTGTTGGGGTGGAGACAGGGCCTCCACTTCCGGCTTTCTCCGGTGTCTGCCACTCATGCAAGCCTGGTGGCTGTACTACTCTGACAGTCCAGGCCATCCAGACACAACCCAAGAATAGGAGGGAACCAGAATTCAGTATCTATCCCCCCAAGGTTCCTACTCTCTTAAATTGGCGCTCTTTCACCCCTAACTGTGTCACTTTCTGTATTTTGGCTTTGTATTCCTATGGACATGGTTAGAATATTGGGATAGAAGCCACAGTCATTGTTCATTCATGTAACAACATTTATAGAGAATTTGTAATATTAATATTATAGTCACCTTGCTAGTGACAAAGGATTTGAAGATGACTACACAGTCAAAGATCTGACTATTTTTTAAAATGAATTTTCTTTTTCTTTTAAAAAGATTTAGTTTTAAAGTTCTCTCTCTCTCTCACAGACACACACACACACACACACGAGAAAGAGAGAAAGAGAAAGAAAGAGAGAGAGAGAGAGAGAGAGAGAGAGAGAGAGAGAGAGAGAGAGATTGTGTATCTGAGTGCAGTGTCCACAGATGTAAGAAGAGGGTATCGGATCATCTGGAACTAGAATTACTGGCAGTTGTAAGCCACCCAACATAGTTACTGGGCACCAAACTCTGTCCTCCAGAAGAGCAGCAAATGCTCTTAACTGCTGAACCATTTCTACAGGCCCTAAAATGACTTTTCTTTATATTATGCAATTATTTAATCAACTATTAATATTCAGTATTTCATTCACCTTTGCAATTTTTTTGTTAAAACAATTTATACTCTCAAATTTGTGTGGCATTCTGGTAGTCATTTGTGGACATATGAATAAGCTGAACAGTGAAAATTTTGAAAGGGCACTCCACTCATTCCAACCGAGGTGGAACAGTTGTTGGAGAGAGAGAGGGAGGGGGAGAGACAGAGAGACGGAGGGGGAGAGAGAGGAGTTAGTTTTCCATCTTATTCTCTGAAAAATAAAAAAGAAATAACCCCTGAAGATTTTTCTGATGAGCAAGTGACTGGCGCTTTAGTGCAAGCCTTTTACTGCTTCTAGATGTCACAGTGTTGTCTTAGACGATCTTTACATTCAAATGCTCCTTTTGATGCCTGACTAATTTCTCCAGTGTAATCTCTGTAAAGCTGTAATAGACAAAACCCCACCCTTTATCAGCATGCTAAAGTTTCTAGAAAGTCGTATGCAATAGTGTTTGCTCTGTTGCCCAAAAAGTTAACATAGAGATCTTCAAGTGAGAATCTAAAATGACAAGAAAAACTTTCACTGAGCATGTGCCAGTAGATTATGAACCAAACAAACCTGGTTTCCATGGTGCCTCCTCCTATAGTTGATCAACATGGTAGAATGTTTTTATAAAAAAAATTTACCTGGTCTTCCGTACATGCTGAAATGTAAGAGGATTCCTAGAGTCAGAGACTATTCCCTTAGCATATGATTATTGAGGGTGAAAAAAATAGCTAATTGATAGCTAATAGCATCTGAATGGCCTCTGGCTCAGTGGTGACTCTCCTATGCTTGTACTTGGAGTAGTTGTTTGCAAACCACAGTTCACCATTGCCATTTCCTTAATGTTCTGAAAGAGCCCTCTGCATGACTGCTTAAGTATTTTATATATTATGACTTTGGAAATGTATTTGAAAAGTAATTCTTGGATGTAAAGGATCTATATTGAGAGACAGTAAGAAAGTATTCATGGACACATCGTCTTTAGTGAGTAGAAAGGCCTTGAGTTAGGTTCTATAATGAAGAAAGTGGGTTTAAATATAAAGACACTAGCTTTTGCTGATGGCTATGACAGCCTATATACCTGCGCTAGTAAGAAGGTAGAGTGTGTTTTCTTTTATTATCACTTTTAAATTTTATTTTACATTCCAATCACAGTTTTCCCTCCTCCATCTCCTCCCACTCCCCCACCTCCTCCCACTCTCCCTTACATCCCCCCAACACACCCCCAGTCCACTCTTTCTCACTGGTATGGGTTCCCATGAGGAATCAACATAGTCTGACACACTAGGTTGGGGGCAGGACCAGGCCCCTCTCGCATCCATTAAGGTTGAACATGGCATCCAGCTGTAGGGAGTGGGTTTTAACAAGGTGGCTTATGTACCAGGGTTAGATTCTGGTCCTACTGCCAGTGGGCCTTCAGCTAGTCCAAGCTTCATTGCTGTCTCTCACATTCGGAGGGCCTAGTTCAGTACCATGGAATCTCTACAGATACAGGTCTAGAATTCATTAGTTTCCATGAGCTTGGTTCAGCTGTCTCTGTAGATTTCCTCATCATGATCTTGACTTCCCTTGCTTCTATATTCCCTCCTCACTCTCTTCAACTAGATTTCCAGAGCTCAGCCTGGTTCTTGTTTGTGGATTGTAGAGCATGTTTTCTAACACTTCATGTTTGGAGATGTATCTGTGTGGATTAAAAGCTCAGGAACAGTGAGACATCCCATTGCTTCATTGTTCCTTTGAGATACTTTGATCCTTACCTTTTCCCGGGGTAGAATCCACTTGTCTGAGCCGGGCGTTGGTGGCTCACGCCTTTAATCCCAGCACTCAGGAGGCAGAGGCAGGCGGATCTCTGTGAGTTCGAGGCCAGCCTGGTCTACAGAGCGAGTTCCAGAACAGCCTCCAAAGCCACAGAGAAACCCTGTCTCGAAAAACCAAAAAAAAAAAAAAAAAAAAAGAATCCACTTGTCTGTACTTTTCAGTCCTTGGGGCCTCTATACTTGAAGCAGCAGACACGATTCTAACTCATAGAAAGTCAACGAACTTGGGGTGGGACTATGGAGTCTAACAGCACAGTGGTCACTCACTCACTCTCTCACTCACTCACACACTCACTGACTCACTCACTCATACACACACTCTCTCTCTCACTCTCTCACTCATTCACTCACTCACTCACTCACTCATTCACTCATACACACTCACTCACACACTCACTCACACACTCACTCATACACACACTCACTCACACACTCACTCTCTCACTCTCTCACTCATTCACTCACTCACCCACTCACTCACTCACTCACTCACTCATTCACTCATGCACACACTCACTCACACACTCACTCTCTCACTCTCTCACTCACTCACTAACTCACTCACTCACTGACTCACTCACTGACTCACACACTCACTCACTCATACACACACTCACTCATTCACTCACTCACTCACTCTCTCACTCTCTCACTAACTCTCTCACTAACTCACTCACTCACTGACTCACTCACTGACTCACACACTCACTCACTCACTCACTCACTCACTCACTCACTCACTCATGGTGCATGGTGGAGACAGATTCTCAGGGAACCAGCTGTGTAACGGTAGTGGATTTTAGTATTAAGGTATTTGGCACCTGTAAGACTTATGGGATGCATATATAACTTCCTAACCACAGACAAAGATTTTAAAGAGAAACACTAATGTATGTTATCAGACAAATAAAACAATGGATTCTAAGAATTAAAATTTCCTCATGCTGGGCACCCGGAAAGGCTTAAGCCTTAGTTCCAGGCACAGGAGAAACTTGTCTCTCAGGAAGTCATTTCTCACAGTCTGACAAGTCAGACCACCTTCAGGTGAGGCTGGGGACAAGGCACTGAGCCAACAAGGTTGAGACCACTTTCTGGCCTGGACCACTTAGCTATATACACCTCCAGTCCTCCATTTAAACCTAAGTTTCAAGGCAATACACCAAAGATGGACTTGGGGGTCCATGGACCCACTGATTTGTTCCTCTTCCTAACATTGGCACATTGAGTAAATCTCCTATCTCCACTCTTAACAGTGACTTGTTTTTTTAAGTGCTGTAGTGCAGATGGATGGCTGAACCTAGCTTGTGACTGGCAGAGCCCAGGCTCTGACCCTAAAACTCCAGGAATGTAGGTTGTCTTGCAAATGTTGTAAATAGTCTGTGATCTTAAACTGAGTAGGAAGAGAAGTGTGATTTGGTTCCTTTCTTCTCTTTTAAAAACAAAAATGATTAAATCTCTTAATCTAGGCTTAGTGTAGAACCAAAACCACACTGTGTAATCAAGAACAGGAAATCTGTCCTTGAGGATATCTTCTATTTCAATATTAAAAACACCTGTTCTCACTGAGTCTATGGTAGAACTTTATTAGGACAGATATTTCTAGTTTTGCTAAAGCATATCCCCACGGTACTAAGAAGTAGGAAAAAAATGAGTGCACAGATCATAGTTAATAAGAGACTGAAAAACAAAAAAGAATTAACTAGCTGTTTTTGTTCTGTTGGAGAAACTGGTCATTTCCTGTTCCTTTTTTAGTCTGGCCATTTGTCTCTCATTGCTTCTCCTGAAGCACCTTGGCTACCCAGGCCATTCTCACACAGGCATGCATGAAATTCCCTGCTCCTGTAGGGAAGTCCAGAAAAAAGTTGACGGAAACACTCTGTGGTCTTGGGCACTAATCCACTGGTCTTAGACTCACTTCCAAACTTTACCCATTTTATGATTTTAAACTTGTAGCACTTAGTTCATTAATTTTCCTGGAACTACAACTTAGACATCACTTGTGAAGATCTAAATGTCTACTTTGTCATCTCTTCTAAGTTTTTGTGTGGTGTGGAGGACACAGTGGGGTCCTGGGTGACTTTTTCTATAGCTCTCTGCCTATGACTTTGGGATGGAATCTCTCCCTGAAACAGACACTTGCTGCTAAAGCTAGCTAGACTGATGGGCCATGAACACATATGCCTGGCTTTTTAAAAGATGTGAATGCTGAGAATTTAATGACAGGGCCTTATGCTCTTACAGACCCAGCTGTCTCCCCTGCCTCCAGGCATCTATTTAGACAATTTAAAAAGTGAAAAGAACTTCTGTTGTGTTTATTCTCTGATAATTTTATACATGTGTAATCTACATGGGTAGACAACTAAAGAGAGTAACTACCCCTCCTCCAGAATCTTTCAGTAGTCAAAATCC